CTTTGGTAATTTTCCTTGCTTGATTTTAATTTGCTTTTCAGATGTTCTATCAATTAATGGTTAAGCAACTCCATTCCAATCTCCCATCAGACACCAACTTTGGTACAAGAAAGCTGACAATTCATTCAGAAGCTGCATAAAAAAATTGCTCATCATCATTCAGAGCATATACTCCCACAACAATCATTTTAAGTCCACGAATCTCCACTTCAACAACTACATTATCTACCATAATCATCTGTTAACAATAAACGTGGTTTCAAGTGATTTTTAGCATATAATACAATTCCATTTATTTTCTTCAAATTGGCTGAAACAAATTCCTGTCCCAAATTATTTATCAAATATTTTGTATCTTTCTTCTTAATATGTGTTTCTTGCAAACAAATTACATCATATTTCAATTTATTCAAATAGTGAAAGACCTTTTTTCTTTTCTGTGGAGCATTTGCCCCATTTATATTCCATGTAAGACATTTCAAAGCCATCTTTATGCAGATGATTCACCAGTCTTTAGGAATAACAGCTGTCTCTTCCCCATATGTAACCACATCCATTTGCTTAGTTCCAGATGTATCCTGTTCCAAGTTGGTTCCAAATCTGGCTAAAAAGTCCTTAGCCTTAGAAATCAAAGTTAATTTAAATCTTTGTTGGTGGTAGGAAAAAGTTATCCCTTCCAGTTTTTCCCAACAAAAGGGAATTTTGTTTTTTTTCAAAACATTTGTCAGAAATGCATATTCTTTTCTCTTCCTTAAAATCCTTACTGGTATTTCTTTGAGGACCATTATATCCACACTTTCAATATTAAGTTTAGAGTCAAAATGCGCTTGCAAAATCAAATCCTTTTTCTCCTAGAGAACTGTACCGGCACATCTCTTGGCTTACCATGTACAATTGCATATCTGGAGTTTATGTGAAAAACTTTTTCTATCTCATCCAACATTTTATCTTCTTCCCAGTCAATTAGTTCTGCCATGGTACATGTAATCATATTTGTTTTCTTCTTTAACTTCAGGGATTCCCCTAAGCCTCAGACAGAACTCTCTGTCTCTCAACTCCAATAATGCAATTTTGTCCAGTTCTTTTTCCCTTTCATTTTCCAGCAAGTCTATTATTAAGATTTTTAATCCCTCCTTCTAATTTCTTCTCCATTATTTCAATTTTCTGATCAATTTTTTGATCTAACCTTTTTTCAAGTTCAAGAAACTTTAAATCAAGTGCTTGAGTAACACTTTGGATGATCATTTGTGTTGTTTTTAATGTATATTTTTCAAACATACCTTTTATCCAGTCAACATCACCAGAGCCACATCTTGTTAACTTTCTGGTGGCCATTATCTTTATTTCTATCTTCTTTCCCCCCCTTACTTAGAAGGAGAGAGAAAAAGGCTATTTCTTCCTTTCAGTAATCCAATAATCCAAATATAATACTTTGGCTCCCTCTTGTGGCCCAGGATAGTATTCCCAACAATCAAACGTAACCAGATATTCACAACTAGAAACAAAGCAGAGGGAGA